TTGGCAACTTTTTAATGGATTGTTAAATAAATGCTTCTTTTTTATTGCAGAAAATAATGGAATTTTTGCCCTTTCACATCAGAAGTTGAAAGAAGCTCTTGGATTGTGACACAGAGGCCATTCTTTATGATTAGGGCATAAGATACTAATACATTTTCTTCTTTTTAATGAGTTTGCGTTTATAACAGTTGCTTCAGGCCACAGTAATTTCAAACTCTTAATGGCCTTCAAAGGAGACTTGAATACTTACTTTCATATCGCTAAAGGCCTGTGTAAGCTGTCCAATATATTGATTTCAAAATAATCTAAGAGAATAAGGTTTGTAAGATAAAAGTCTGTTCTTTCACAACTTCAAGCAATGTCTACATCAATGTTTTATACAGAGACTAATTAGGAAAACAACACCATATAATCATAGCCAAGGCTGTTTTTTAGAGGTCAGTAGTTTGAGGGGGAAATATAATATGTAACCAGAAGCCATAAATCATGTATCTTTTTATAAAAATATTTCAAAATTATTTAGTGTACTTAAACATATCCCACCTAGCCATTGTAGTGACTGTCCACTGATGGAAGGGAATTCTGATGGAAGGAAATAGGGAGGGGGACAGTTTTCAATTATCCTATTTTGTATCTGATCCAGAGGGTTAGGGGCCACCACCCCAAGAGCTGATTCAAATATGGGAGGGTGTTGTGCAGAGGGTGCAGAAGAGAGTCATCAAAAGTTGCATTGCTCTGCATTCTACTGATCGATTCTTTTCCATCAGTAGACAGTAAGCACTGGATTGTCACTCATTAATTTAGAATGCTGCATGTTCTGACCTCAGCAAACCACTTAGCGTTTTCCTAAGAAGAGAGTTTAGCCCATGGGTAGGCAAACTAAGGCCCGGGGGCCGGATCTGGCCCAATCGCCTTCTAAATCCGGCCCATGGACAGTCCAGGAATCAGCGTGTTTTTACATGAGTAGAATATGTGCTTTTATTTAAAATGCATCTCTGGGTTATTTGTGGGGCATAGGAATTCATTAATCCCCCCCCCAAAAAAATAGTCCGGCCCCCCACAAGGTCTGAGGGACAGTGGACCGGCCTCCTCCTGAAAAAGTTTGCTGACCCCTGCCACACATGATGTGTCCCCTAGAAGCTAGTAAACTACAGTGTATATAATGTGACACGACCTACCCTGCAATCATGTAGCTCCTTTAGATTCACACTTTCTCAAGTCCACCATTCTGCCAAAGCAGCCAGGTCATGTAGCACTTGCCACTTCTGAATCACAGGGACTGAATCTCTGAGACCTCTTTTTGAATTATGCCGCCTTGACAAGAAAGACCAGTGAGTCTGCTTTGTAAGTAACACCTTGATTGCCCCACCTTTTTGCTCCCAAATGGTGTTAACAAATGCTCTCCTGCCTATGACTTTGCCAGTTAACCTGACAATCAAAGCAACCTGGCAGAAAAGACCATAAATGTCAAGTGTGGTTCCTATAGCCCTTGATCCCCAGAACTGATCATCTAACAGTTGATCTCCAACAGTCTTACACTGGTTAGCTAGCTCTTAAAAAACCACACACACATTAAAGTACTATTCTCCTTTTTTTAAATGTCTGTTGGTCCTGGAATACATAAAGAGTTTTTCAGATTTAGTTTTAACTGGAAATGCTGGAGAATACCTTCAGCAACAGGAAAGGGCCTTTGCTGAAACCCTGGAGAGCTGCTGCCAGAGTAGATAGTTTGGGGCAGATAGACCAGTGGTCCAAACCATTATAAAGTGGCTTTTTATCTCTGTAATTAATTTATTTAGACCATATGTTCACTGGTCAATCAATAAAAGTCCTCTGGGCAGTTCACACAGTTCAAACAATTAAAACATTAAAATACTTAATTGGAACATTTACATTAATCAATCCATTTCCTGCCTAAAGACCAGAACAAGGAGCATTGAAACCACAGCATAAATAATGTATTCCAAGGGCAAACATTCTAAAAGGTCTAAGACTTTGCAAAGTCCTCACCAGGCGTGGAAAAGTTCTGGAATGTCTCACTGTGGAGGGCATTCTACCCTTCTTGTTAATAAACACACACCTGGTGGCAATACCAAGAGGTGGGAATCAGGGAGCGCACAGAAAGAGCAAAATACAGTGGTAGCTCGGGTTACAGACACTTCAGGTTACAGACACTTCAGGTTACAGACGCTTCAGGTTACAGACTCCGCTAACCCAGAAATAGTATCTCGGGTTAAGAACTTTGCTTCAGGATGAGAACAGAAATTGTGTGGCGGCAGTGCGGTAGCAGCGGGGGCCGCATTAGCTAGTGGTACCTCAGGTTAAGAACAGTTTCAGGTTGAGAACGGACCTCCAGAATGAATTAAGTTCTTAACCCGAGGTACCACTGGCGTGCTCTGGTCCATGGGGTCACGAAGAGTCGGACACGACTAAACGACTAAACAACACCACCACCACCACCACTGTATATTTCTAGGTTGGTGAGAAAGAAAAGTAGCCTATGTTAATGACAAGAGTTCAGAAATAGGAGGGGACAAGGGAGTGCTCCCCACCCCCCCAGCACCCACCTCACCTCTCTAGGCAGAAGAGCTTGGAGAAGGTCCTTCAGTCACGATCTCAAGGTTTGAGCAGGTATATAAAGCCAATAGATAATCTATGTAAGGCAGCTAGATGATTTCACAATTCAGAAGCAATTTGGTGGATTCAGCCCCAGAGGCAATAAGGGTTAAGAGAAGCATTGCTTACAGCTCTGTATCAAACTGCATTATGAGAGGGCATAATATTCAACTCGGATAGCTTTGGATATAATTCCTGTTCCTGAAGCCTTTCAGCTCTGTTTTCTTATGAGTTGGCACCAAGGAACGTGGGGGGGGGGGGGGGAATCAAAGCATGATTAGGCTGTGTGTTTTGCTTAGAAATAACTGGGTTTTTTTTTTCCTTTTGTGAATTTACTTCCAGGCCTGTGTGTGCCTATTGTTAAGATCTGAGTCCTAATAATGGCAATATGGCAACTTTTGTTTTAAATGGAGAGGAAAATGCCACTGACAAAAGGCAAATCCTATAGGCATTGGGTTTTGTGTTTGTTTCTTTGTTTGCTCATCAATAACACTGTGTTAAAGAGCAAACTATGACAAATGAAAACAAATACATTATTGATACAGTCGTGGAAATGCTTCTTGGGCAATGGCAGTTACCAAAGCAGTACAGTGGTACCTCGGGTTACATACGCTTCAGGTTACAGATGCTTCAGGTTACAGACTCGCCTAACCCATAAATAGTACCTCGGGTTAAGAACTTTGCTTCAGGATGAGAACAGAAATTGTGCTCCGGCAGCGCGGCAGCAGCAGGAGGCCCCCATTAGCTAAAGTGGTGCTTCAGGTTAAGAACAGTTTCAGGTTAAGAACAGACCTCCAGAATGAATTAAGTACTTAACCCGAGGTACCACTGTATTACGGAAAGCACTAAAATAAAAATCTAATGAAGTCTCACCCCAAACTTTAAAACATCCTATGACATACTCTGTTGGGGTGGTAGCCGACTAACTCATAATCATTGAATTCAATGGGCTTTATGATTGTGTTCAACTGACTGTTACTTAGGTCTGTTAATTTCAGTGAGCGAACCCCCAGAACAGCACACAAAGGAAGGGGGATCATTTCATCTGGCATAGCACAACTTTGAATTCCACCCAAAGGGTCTACTTTGAGTAAAAGTTAGTTGACTTACTATATGTATATTTGTAAGTACTCCTGTGCTGATACTTAAATGCTTTTAGATTTATGCCAGTAAGAAATGACCCTGAATAGTTATGACAACAGAGGTGTAGCTTTGCTAATGGTTTAGGAAAGCAGTATCAGCATTTTGGCCTTTCCCTAATGGAGGGCAAAACTGTGGCTCAGCCGAATCAGTTTAAAAGCCATTTTTCAAAAACCAGGGGTTTCTGCTAATGCATTCTCTCCCTTTTTTGATAGTTGGCAGAGGGGATTTATGCTGTTTTAATTCAGTGGTGCTTCAAACAGAGGAGATATGATCAGCTGATATGCATGGGTCATATTAACACTTCACTTGCTGGGAACATTGAATGAAAAAACTGGATCAGCTCTTGGAGAGGAAATGCTGGTGAGACGCAGCTGGAATATATATATAAATAAGAGGCTGAAGGGAGGAGGAAGTTGGATACAGAGCTGTAAATGGATGGGGGACCCAAGCAGTGAAGGGTGCTCATTCATGGGAGACATTTATGAGGTCATAAATTATGTCTTGGGCTATTACTGAGTATGTTTGTTTGATGGTCCTAATATAGTGGTGGTGTTTGGAAGCTCTTGTATTGATTTAGTTTAGCCCATTAAAAAAAAAGGCCTTTTATTTCCTGGCTTCTTCTCCACAGCTTCAGAATTAGTATGGCTTGAAAAGCACACAAAATAACTAGGAAGAGGCATGCATGGGCTCTGGCGCTTCCCATCTGCCACTGCTTTCCCCCCTCTACCCCAATTCTTATTTTGCTCTGCCTGGCCCTTTTACTCTCTCTACATTTTCTCCTCCAACTTCTACCATTTGCCATTGTAAGAGGAGGAGGAGGAAGAATGAGTGTCCTGTACATGAGAGGTCTATTCTTCTCCCCCACAGCCTTGCTTGTAACCAACAGCTTGCAAAGTCAGGTCTCTTGTAATAGTAAGGGTGCCAAAGAAAAACAAGTGGCCTTTTTAGCTCCTTAGGTTGACTGAGTCTTGCTGAAAAGAAACTTGACAGAACCAGCATGTTGCAGAATTCTATATTTGGAGTTCTATATTTTTAATCACTTAGGTTCTAATCCAATTTACTACACCTGTTTGCATGGGAAATGGGTGGTGGTGGTTTTCTTCTTAAATGTGGTGCCTGAAAATGTCCTAACAGTTTAAAGGTGAGGGGGTTGTTTACCATGGCAGCTAGTAGTATTTTTATTTTATTCGAATGCATGTATTAGTGAAAACAACATACACAAATGCATTATATAAAAAAATTGTCCAGTAGCACCTTAGAGACCAACTAAGTTTGTTCTTGATATAAGCATGCACACAAAAGCTTATACCAAGAACAACTTAGTTGGTCTCTAAGGTGCTACTGGACAATTTTTTAATATGTTTCGACTGTGTCAGACCAACACAGCTACCTACCTGAGTCTAGAACAAATGCATTATATTAGAGGAAATTGCTTTGCAAAAATGACTATATTAAGCAAAATTGCCTACTAAAAAATGTGTCTATTAGGAGAAATTCCCACCAAAATGCTGATGAATAAAATATATTTGCAATAAAGTAAGTAGACTCCAGAGCATTGCATGTCATACTGCAAAGGTTCTGAAGATGTCCAGGTTTCTGTTGTTCCTGAAGATTGAAAATTCACTTTAGGTGTAACTGCAGAATTGAATGCGTTCCTTTTCATAGTGCTTGATGTCACAGCAAATCCTTCACCACAAATAATTATGAAACTTGATATATATTTAGGAACATTTCATAATATTCAGTATTTTGTATTCATCTGCTTAATTGTTTGACTAGGAAGAAAGGATGAAGATGAGATGACTAGTACAAGGACCCATAGATTCTTTTGAGACTTTCCATTTCAAGAGCCAGAAATATTTTGCATAATTCATCTTATTTCCCTCCCCCCACATTGTTTCTAGTCAATTGCTTTCCCGATATTAATTTACACTCTTTGCATTGAATACATGTAATAGCAGTTTTGCTGCCTGAGTTCCCACAATACCAGCAAATGATCTTATTTCAGGGGTAGCTAAGTTCTTTTCACCATCATCATAGAACTATCATTGATTTATCAGAAGCAGAAGCAGCTGCATGCCCCTTGGGAAAGTTCACAGCTGTCTGCAGCTGCTGCGGTAAATTTCTCTCATAAGGATCCAATGCGAGAAAGGAAAGAAACTTCAGGAAATGATGTTAACTCTGTGTTTTGTGCATGGCTGTAGTGATGAAAAGCATTACAGGCAACTGATTAAAATATTGGTCTCCTTCCCTCTCCCTCCCCCCACCACTGCAATTTTCATTTTATTCATTACAGTAATATATTCCAACAAATGATCAAACTGCACCATACATAGTAATGAATACCGTATTAGTATTTGCTTTTCCCTGAATAAGTGATATTTCTCTTCAGTCATAGTTTTAATTAAAGAGCAAAGGCGATTTGTGTTGAGCGTCCAAAATGATAAATAAAATCTCATTGTTTCAGTAAACAATCCAATTGTAAGATTAAGCATTCCTCATTTGCCCATATTTCATAGCAGGTCCTGTCTCTTTGCTCATACTGTTTACATATATAACAAAGTCGTACCAAGTTATTGTTTTTTAAAATTTAGATACCATATTTTTTGCTCTATAAGACTCACTTTTTCCCTCCTAAAAAGTAATGGGAAATGTGTGTGCGTCTTATGGGGTGAATGCAGGCTGCCCAGCTATCCCAGAAGCCAGAACAGCAAGAGGGATTGCTGCTTTCACTGCACAGCGATCCCTCTTGCTGTTCTGGCTTCTGAGATTCAGAATATTTTTTTTCTTGTTTTCCTCCTCCCAAAACTAGGTGCGTCTTGTGGTCTGGTGCGTCTTATAGAGCGAAAAATACAGTACATTTATTTTATACCTATAGCTCTGCTAGCCACTAGCTGCATATAAGTCGTTCCACCCAAGTTGCTACATAATTTTACTAGCACAGCAGCCTGTCTGACCTCAATGGCCAAAAGTATTCCACTCAATTCTCTTGCGTATCATAGGCGTTTTTCCCACTACCGTCCTGACCTAGAGAGAGGGGCTGGATCCCAGCACTAGGAGCAAATGTAACTGGAGCTTGATCCAAGATATCAGGAAGTTAGGAATGCTGATAGAAGTGGACCTAGAATAGTTCACATTCTAAAATCGAAAGAGCTGCTCATTATAGCTAACAAATGAAGATGTTAATTCAAGTGAGACTGGAGATTTCCCTCTTCAGCCCTTCCTTAAAACAGATAACAGGTTGATCCAAATGGGGGTTGGTGCTCCTCCTGCATGCATTTTTTTCAGTGCCTACATAACTTACCAACTCATATTCCTCCCACCCAACTGAATCTGTAAGTACCTTTTGTGCGAGGGGGAATCTGGTATGATAATAATTTTTTTTACCTGTTGCCATTGTCCCATTTGTGATATCTCAATAACCCCGATCCAGAAGCAGCCATTTTTGTTGCGTGTTCTGTTTCCAGTTCTTGGTTGTTAAGGAAAAATATAACTACTTTAACACCATGATTTTTGTGGAAGGGCAGTAGCTCACTACTAAGGCATCTGCTTTGCATTCAGAAAATTCCAGGTTCAATCACCATCATTTCCAGGTATAGCTGGGAAGAGATTCTGATCGGAAATTCTTGAGAATCTCTGCTGCCAATCAGTGCAGTCAATTCTGAGCTAGAATTGGTTTGACTCAGTATAAGGAGCTCCCTATCCATAGTCTAATGTACAAATGGGTAATCTGTAGCCCTCCAAGGTGTTATCAAACTCCCAACTCCTATCAGCCCAGTCAGCATGACCAATGGCCAATAAAGCCTCTCCTCCCAGAGGGGAGGTATTGTGAGCGGGAGCTGTTCGGCCCCCTGTGTCATCACCCTGCTGCCGTGCTGCCCTCCGGCTGGCCAGCCAATAGGGTTGGCCCGGGGCGGGACTTAGCCGCATTCAAGCGGCTGCGGCAGCCTCCGCGCCTCATTCAGCTGCTCAGAGGACGTCGGATCACCCGCCCACCCACCCTCTAAGATAGGTTTATGCTCTTGACATTGCTGTGGACTTTGGTTGGTCACCCTGGTTGCCCAGGGAGCCTGGTAGGAGTTTTTATCCATTCGGCAAATTGGCACCAGCCTCTTGGTTTTTCGCCTACCTCGTAGCAAATTGTCACAACTTTTCCGGTTTTGGCGGTTAGGCATTGGAATATGTGTTGTGCGTTGGTGGGCGTTGTGTGGCCATCACCTACCCCACCCCATGTTGGGTATTCCGTTAAAGGAATCCAGCGGTCGTGGATCCTGTCCGATGCCCTGCTGGTGGCTAGGGCCATGGCACGATCCCCGGTGACATCAGGGGAAGCTTCCAGTTGTATTTGCATCAACAAGCTTCAACAAGCTCCTCCCACTGGTTGTTAACCTTCATACAACCCCCCGCTGCGCGGTCGGCTACATGTACAGTGGTACCTCGGGTTAAGAACTTAATTCGTTCTGGAGGTCTGTTCTTAACCTGAAACTGTTCTTAACCTGAAGCACCACTTTAGCTAATGGGGTCTCCTGCTGCCGCTGCTCCGCCACTGCACGATTTCTGTTCTTATCCTGAAGCAAAGTTCTTAACCCGAGGTAATATTTCTGGGTTAGCGGAGTCTGTAACCTGAAGCGTATGTAATCTGAAGCGTATGTAACCCGAGGTACCACTGTATAGGTTGTGTGATCCAATGCCTAAGCCAATACCACTCACATGCTGTAATCAATAAAAGTTGTGGCCTTTTCAGCCCATTAACCTAAATACTTGTGTCCTTGTCTCTTATCCACCACTACGCGGGTGCGGGTCCTCGACTTACAATAGAGGGAGTTGTGAGCCAACAACATGGTTAACAACCTATGGAGAGCCATAGGTTCCGCATCCCTAGTCTAATGCTGAATATTTCATTAATCAGTTCCGAAACAGATGTCAACACCTTTGAAGTTCAAGAGCTAAGGTTTTCTACAGCAAGCATATCTTGAAATTCAGCAGTTTCCAGACATTAATGGAACACAGGCCACTTTGAAAAGGTGGACAGAAAACAGTGCTGCTGTTTCACAAAAAGAACACCAGATTGGTGATTTTTTTTTTTTAATAAAAAAAAGCTCTTCTTCCTAATTACTTTGCCTAGTGTTGTCACTGGAATGGCAACAAGATGTCAGTCTTTCCTCTTTGTATTTTTATAGGGGAAATCTTAAGATTAATTATCTGTTAATGTGCAGTCATATTGCATGGTTTCCCTTTCTGGTGGATGGGCATAATTTTAGTTTCATGAATATTTAATTTCCAAAGTCCTCCATTATGCTGACATCCAGTGACTTGGCATATTATTTGACATGCTTTTTAATCAGATTTGGCATGTCAGAAAAGTGTTTTTATTACGATTCCCTTGTGTTTTGAGAGCTTAGCAATTTCATTTAGCTAAATGAAATATTCTGCATAATTCAAACTATATCTAGGGATTTCTTATTACTCGGTCATGACAACATGGTAAAATGATTGGTTTTTGTCATTTTCCTAGCCATATTACTTTAAATGCATGTGAAAGTCACAAGTATGGAGGTGGGGGGGAAGGCATGATTGGAAATCTAATTAAGAAATGAAAATAACAGCATGAAAGACCACTAAGCCTGTCAGTTATTTCATCTTCTTAAATGAGGCACAGAATAGTACTCATGAAATGGTATGACAGGCAGTTCAAGATGTCCAACAACTGAAATACTTACTAGAAACGTGCATATTTATTCTACTTTTCATTGCATTTCCCCCCATATGTAGATATTAACAAGTGGTGTGGGGTGAATACAGCTAGAGGAGCAATAGTCAGTGGTGCATCTAAGGCTCTGTTGCATTGCCACCTTTGGCTTCTATGGGAGGGAGGACATAAAATAAATTTAATAAATAATATGCAATTTATTTGTCCCTTTCATAAAAAAGGAAAACAAATGTTTAAAAGTCTATTTTCAATAAGTATGCACTTGGAATTTTTTATTCAGTGGCCTGCTAGGCTCCAGTTTTGAACCCTTCCTTCAAATGCCTATCCAGAATATGCACAAGCAATAGGATTTCATGCATGCTTCAGGTGGGCAGTGGGTGCCATAGGTGGGAATCCTCAATTTATCTTGGAGGAACTTGTGAGGGGTAATACTGAAATGAGTGTGGAGGACACACAATATTGCTATTAGGTTAATCAGACCTTGCTATCAATGAAACATCAAGTGTATTATAAGATTTCCAATATTTTGCTGGCTATCATCACTGCAAGTCAAAACTTAACAATGGCTATCATTCTGTTGAGATTTTCATCAGCTACAAATTGCTCCATGCAAATCACAAGAGGCATGCATATCAAAG